ACGTGTAGTAAAGCACATAGTGAACTTCAGACTTTCAACTTTGGTTGCTCATGTCATTTCACCTGAATATTAATGAATTTGACATAGGCTGATTAACATACTATGAATGATAATCATGTGAATTTAGGATACTCATTACATATGTATTACATGAATAGCAGGTGGGGTAATTTGAGTAATTTGTGGTTATATGCAGACACGGGGATGATGGACGGTGTCTGGAGAAGACAAGCTGAGCCGGCCAGTGGATCTACTGCAGAGTAAGGAGAATTTAGGCTCATCATAAAAGATTTCTCCTTGCCTCTTATTTCACTTGGACATTTTTATGTTTTTTTTATTTTCTACCTCATTGCAGGCGTGAGCTGCCTGCTGATTTATACACACTGGCAGTGAAGCACAAAGGCCTCAAGAGACAGTGCCCTCTACCCCTCCATTTGTTTCTCCTTTTGTTTCTCCATCCTCTGTTGTCCTCTCGCTGCCACCACCAGCCATTTCTCCATCCACTGAAACAGGTCGGACCAAAGAGCTCCACCTGTATTCATTCCTAATCTCAAAATAGACATTAGTCTGGATGGGTTGTTACTCACCCATGAACATTTGACACACCAAGGATCTGTTGCTCTGTGCCAGGAAACATTTTTATATACTGATGAACATGCTTACATTTAAATGCTGAGGTCTTATACTCCTGTTGCATTATGACTTTGGTTGGTAAAAAATGTATATTCCTATCCATGAGAGAATGTGTTTTAGCATTTTAGATACACTTACCTAAAACTAATGTAATCTAATAAGAGTCCTACAATCAGTCCTCATTCAAGAATGTGATAATGTTCAGTTTTTGGTGAAATAGTTTTAGAAATGTGATGATTCAATTGAATTCAAGGTAGTGGTGGTGATTCGTTTCAGGAGCATTTTTGTTACATTTCATGAAATTCTCTTTTCATCCCATTTGCAATAAATAAATTAAATTCAAAAGAACAAATTTAAAAAAAACCTGCCATCTGTGGTAGCAGCAGAGCTGAAAGAAACCTGACCAGTAATTTTACTCAGCCCTAACAAAACCATTGGTTGGCCGACCTGCCTGTCAACCTACTTCCTACTTGTGCACTCTGCCCTTGCACTCATTGTGTGAGCCAAGTCTCCCCACAAGATGTTGCAGGCAGATGTGTTACCGCTTTGTTCTTATAGCTACAGCTAGCGAGCTATGGCAGAGAAGGCACCCACGGCAGCTTTCGGTCACATTTGTTATTTTCCTGAAATCCGTAGACAGGCAGTGCACATTGCAGTGTGCATTGTGTTTTGGAGGAGTGGCTTTGGGGAGAAGTCAGAATGACTTTATATTAGACTACATTAGTTTTGCCCAGGTGAGCTGAATAGACTGCCAACTGAGTCTATATTCATATACAGTGAGTACATACAGATGTTATCATAACACCAGGTCCTTCCTTCTCATCTATGTGTTTTGGCTGCATGAAAACATTACATGTAACTTTGCACATTTTTTTAACTTCAGGAAATTATGAAGCAGTGATGTCAACTTCCTTTTTGCCCCTGGGGCCATGTGTTCCAGGCAGAGAACCTGCTTTCATGCTGATCAGCCCTGATTCCAGAAGATGAGAAGCTGTTGCTTGCCTTGGTACAGTGACTACGCTTATTCCTAGTAATTGCTACATCCATGCACCAAAAGGCAAAATAGCAGGTAGAAGCCACACAGAACTGAAAAAAGGTGCTTTGGCTGTTGGGTTTGATAAATGATGGATAGTCCTTAGGTAAGCTCATTTCCATTTGTGACAACTGAGTGACAGTGAAAAATGTTTCAGCCTTGAGAACAAGTCTTTTTCACTACACTGAGGCAGGTGTTAGGATAGGCTTGTTTTTTTTTAGCACACACTGACACATAGCTTCAAGGACAGATGAATCTCTGAAAGCCTTTTTTTTTTTTGGCTATCAGGTTGTGTAATTTTTGTGGCTCTTGGTAAATCAGTGCTTAGTGGGAGACCTTGAAAAATGTTCAGAGCCAAGCTGTCAGTTATTAACAATTCAATTAATCCCAGATTTGTAGATCATTTACCTTGCTCTCTCAGTTGGCCCTTGCATTGTGACTGCCTTGCTGTGTAACAAGCTACACATCAGCCTCTGCAATTACCATATGACTGCTGCTGGTGTATGACTCTGGCATCATTTCTTTAGGTCTCATCCACTATCTGTTGGCGCTGAAGCTGGGATTCTCTGATATCGACTCATCCCGATTCCACAGAGTTGCAGTCACAGAGATTTAATATCGCAAATGGTGCTGAACTCCTATTGCTACTAATGGATTCAGTATAATGTGGCACTTAAAATGCATGAGCAGGCTCTGATTTATCTGTAATTTGCCTCCACTGGAGCATATCCACCTCAATACTTCCATTTGTTTTTGACTCAGCAGAGAAACCCTAATTGGGATTTCATATTGTTATGTTCGAGTTTGACAATTTGGTGCTTTCTACCACATAAAACGGATTTTTGCTTTTTGTGATTTTGTGTTAATTACACAACAAAGCCAACAGTAAGTCAAGCATGAGATCACAGAGGGTTTATTTGAGCTGTCGTGGCAGAAAGACATGCTGACTTGGTCTGAGGCAGATGGGCACCCCCCAGAGGGACCATCTTCCTTTATCTAATCTTCTGCTGTTCTATGTATCATACAATAAGCATACTAATTAGATAAAACTGAGCTAAAAATGTGATTTAATCCCATACTTTTCTGGTTATATCCAGTTAAATTCCACCCAGAATACAGTGGATGCTCCTTATGTTTTCACTCTACCTAGTCTCTTTGAGATCAAGTAACATGGAGCAGGCAGCCATTACCCAATCAGTCCGATGGGTTTAAATGTGTCACAGCAGATGCACTGACAGGCTAAGCTACAGTGGCTCGGGGTTAACAGCCAGTGGACTGGAGTTAGAGCCAATTAAAAATATATTATTTCTGATCGACCAGTCAGACTACACCAACAATGTAAACATTTCAATACACGGGAGTGTAAGCAACAAGCAACGCCTTACTGTCACAGGGAGTTGTTTGCAAATGCTGAGCAATATGAGTGAAATTTATAGACACGTGCATGTTTGATTTACAACAGCTGATGTTGGTCTGAAAACCCAACAAGATTACTTTCTGGCATTTTAGCATTTTTCACAACCTCCAGGACTTTAGAAATGGAAGAAGCTCAAAATGTTAAAGTTTTTGGTGAAACTGTCAAAAATGCACAAATTCAATTATATGTTTATTATTAAGGTCCTAGTTAAAGGTGGTGTTGTACTGGACTACATTATATTTAGAGGTGTCTGTATTTTTGTCCTCCCCATCTACATGCATGAGAGGGCCAGAATAAATGCACCAAAGGAAAAAAAATAAACTCAAAGTATAAAAATGGGGTCCACATGTATCTTGGAGTCAGTGTGGATCAACACATTTGATAGATTGGCAGTCTCTGCTTAGTGAGACGGGTGAGTGATGGACCTGCAGATAAACGTTTCAGTGACAGTATCACAGGGATCATGTCTGTCCACTATTTCTACTGTGAGAGTAGTCATTCGTGCATAACCTAATTATTTTACAGTTGCACCCAGTGCGACCTTTGAAACAAGTTACTCCCTCCTTAAACAAATTTGGATGCAAAATGTGACGAGAGTCACATTCATAGGATGAGGGCCCGACACATGTTGCTCCACCAATGCACAGTGTGTAGGTTTTTAAGGTTCAACATAAACTCCTCAACAAGTGCCATGTGAACAACTAAAGTAAGCATGGTATTGTCACACACCTTTTAGATGGATGCTTTGTCAGGGTGACTGTAAACACTGATTACAGTCATTTCTCGAGTTTGTGATAAGACAATACCATTGTAAAGCGAAATATAAAGGTCTTCTTTGATGGCTAAAATGATCATCTGAGAACATTTAACACAGGAGAACTAAACATTTGCATAAGAACCTAATGATTTATTTATGAAAGGCATCTGACAAATTCTTAGAACACTTTTGGACTGAATGGTAAGACAAGTATAGCCTTCCACATGCGTACATTTATGTAAAAATGCCTTATTGACATCCTCTGGATGTACTTGAGGCATAAACCTTTTTCAACATCCCCTCAAAGTAAACATCTGCAGCACTGACAGCTTTAGTGCATGTCTTTGAAGGTGCAGGAAAATGCTGCCCCACACCGTTACACACTGACAACATGCATATACAGCACTGCATTACCATATGTGGACGCACATAAGCACATACACCCCGCAGGACCCCCTACCCACACATGTTCAGGAAAGATGTCACACCTTGCCAATTTAAGCCCGCAGGTTTTTCTTCTGTCCCGACCGCTCAGCTGCTCAGAGCAGAGGTGACGTCACCTCTCAGTTCCCAGCAACACAAGCTGTTTGTCAGCTCCCCCTCTGAATTCATAATAAATACCACAACCGCTGCTGAGCGACAAAGCTAATCTAATTTGCTGTGTCAGTTTGCCATCACTCTGCTTAATGGTCATTATCTCCACATAAGGATGGTGCTGTTTACTATGTGAATGTAGTGGAAAAAAACATACAAAGGCAGAGAGGTTCAAAAAGATAGTTGTCAGTGCAGCTGGCATTTTGTTCAGCATGGAGTAGTGTAGCCTGTCAGCCTGGTAGCCCTCTCAGACAGGCAGGTCCATTGGGATCCCACAGGACCTCCCACCAGCTACACACCTGACCGGGGGAGGGGGGCTGGGCTGTCTGCAGAGACCCTATTACACATGCCATACTGCTAAGCACTGCAGTGGCCACCAAATGACAAGCTACCCCCATCTTGTACTTTATTAGGAAGGACAGTTCAGGCACAGAGAGAGAGAGCTGTCACTTCTTAAGTTATCTACACATATCTGGCCAATTTGACATTATGAAAGACCAAAATTCATGATGCTTCTGTTAAGCTAGTTTATAAAATAAATACAGACAGACAGAGCATATGTTCGTGGGAAATGTGAAAACACAAAGAGATGGATGAAACAACACTGCCATCTTCAGGCAAATTGTTACCTTATAGTGGACATGCAGATAAACAACTCTTTAATGTTGGGCATAGGTATATTTTTATTACTATTTACTGTACATGCTTTAAACTGAAATACCTAAATGAGACAACAATAAGCTTTGACATGTTTTTAAAGAAAAATAATTCAAAGCAATGTAGACAAAAGTGCAGTATGACAGAGTATCAGGTAACTTTTTCTTCACATGTCTGACAGGTTGTATGTGACGCAAGTGTATAGACTCCAACACTCCAAGTTAATGAAGATGATGTTTTCATGTAGAACCGGATGAGCAGCTAAGGGTTTTCTCCTGACTGGCTTCCATGAGATCAACCGATGTGGTACTCCCTGATTTGTTTATAGCCAAATCTTTTATCCAGGGTTCTGAATCTCGACACTCTGAGCTGAAATAACACAGACAAAAATAGGGTATAGACAGGTTCATTCCAGTGCTGGAAAGTAACTAAATGCATTTACTCAAGTACTGTACTTAGGTACAATTTTGAGGTATTGGTACTTTGAGTATTTTCATTTTGTGCTACTTCATACATTGACTTCACTACATTTTAGCGGCAAATATACTTTTTACACCACTTTTAGTTTATAACTTTAGTTGCTAGTTACTTTTCAGAATCACATTAATAAAAAATACAACATAATCATAAGACTTTACTGACCTCTGGAAAATTCACGAGCGACCCGGCAGTGATTCAAATTATATAAATGACTTAAAACTAGCTCCCCCCTTTACCAGCTGCATTAAATGTGATTTACACAATAATGCATCAATAATTATAGTCCAATAATATGATATACAATGTGAAATGTGTAATGAGTACTTTTACTTTTAGTACTTTAGGTATGATTTGATGCTAATACTTTTGTTCTTAAGTAGCCTTTTGAATGCAGGATTTTTACTTGTAACAGAGTATTTTTACACGGTGGTATTACTACTTTTACTTAAGTAAAGGATCCGAGTACTTCCACCACCACAGGTTAATTCAGCACTGACATTTTTAGATGGCAGTAGCAGGAGTTCTCATATCTTTGCTGGAAAGTCCATTAGTAAAGCTAAATCATGTTTGGCCTTACTGCTGACAGCGCAAATACAAACTGAACTTTATCTAGAGTTAATAGACTCACAGAGCTTTACTGGTGGGTTCTTGAGGAACTAGGTGAGTTTTTAGCAGAGAGAAAGACTCCCAAAGCCACGACATGACATCTGCGATACCTGTCTGAGTCAGAGTCACAGGATGTGCTGGTGTCCTTCTTTAGATCCTCCTGTGAGTGGAATCTCCTCCGGCCACAGCGCTGAACTGCCTGGGCCACAGAGTAGTTGGTCTTTCCAGTAGCACAGGCCTCCATGTTGGACACGCTGAGCTGTGACTGCAGGAAAAGATGTAGGCAACTGTCGGACAGCAGCAGACGGCTCTGGAGGATCCTGGAGAAATAGGATAGTAATCCAATTTGGGTTTGTATATATAGTATATTATATTTCTTATTGATGTGCAAACAGCAGTTACCTGGCCTGGTGTCAAAGGAACTGATTCACCCATTTTTGTTTTGTTTGTGTTTTAGTATACAATAATGTTCATAAGTGTCTTGATCTGTGAGATCATTCTTACTGTTCCAGAAATCTCTGCAGCCCTTTCATCCGCTCAGTGATCTGCTGGGCATTGTTCAGGCTGAAGAAAGGGTTCTTTGGGGGTAAATCAGGGAGTTGTACCCTGCAAATGACAAATACAAGATAAAAACGAATGAAAACAGACAGTAAATAGGTTGTTTTGCTCTCACTGAAATTATTTCTCAATGCACAGTGAATGGACTCACATTAACAGTGAATTTGCTTGTAGCTTCTGCCTGAGCCATACAAACTCACTGTACCTTCTTCTCACACGTGAAATTTTCTTGGTGAAGAACACACTGTCAGTCTAAAGGAGGACACACATCTTTTAAAAAAGGCCCACTGTCTGAGTGTGGAAATAAAAAGAGCGCAACTGTTGTTTTACTTACATGTAAACAAATCTCATAGTCTATGTAGGCATGCCAAAAGTCATTCTTTTGTATCCTCGGATCCCGCACCCAGACACTAATGACCTGCTGCATGGAGAAGGCAGGAGAGAGACTGAAATATAGAACTGAATGCACTATGTTATGAAAAGAGGAAGATTTTATTGACACACAGAGGAAGTGCCATGACTAACACGACATTCAGATAGGAAAATTCCACCAAATACCCTTTATTGCTCAGGACAAAAATACTTTGAAACTACACACATTTAGCTCCAGACCTACCTGATTGACAGCATCATCTGCTCCTTCTCTCATACTCCCGATTTCCTAAAGCTTAGTAATGCAAGTCGGCCAGATAATGCTCCGTTAAGGAATGTGCCGGTGTGATTGACTTTCTGTTCTTTTGGAGCAAAGGTTTCTGAGATAAGCTCCTCCTCGCAACTGTTAAATCAAATAAACAAACCACCGCAGGTGTCTTCAGATTGGAATTTATCATGTTTCCAGTTTATGATTTAATCTGACAAATATGAAGTAAAGAAAAATAAGAGATGTCACCAAATAAAAATCCTTTATTTGCAGAGATTTCACAGATCAATGGTCAACAGTTGTAGATCAGTAGCAGGTTTGTTTCAGGAGGTTTAAGGTTCAGCTGAGTGTCCCATAACAATCATGGGAGATATGTTGAGTCAGGACAATGTCATCAGGATACTGGTGTCATGGGTCACATGGGCCTATGGGAGACAATGCCCTCCAGAATTGTACAGTCTCGTACTGCGTCTAAAGTGCTACATTTAACAAGTGTCCTAGCTACTGTAGGTGCACAAAAGTGATTTTTCAGTCTGTGCAATAAATCTGCTGGATTTACTTGAGGAATATTCTGACCTTTTGAGCAGTTCTGCCAGGATTTTGTGTAAAAGCACCAAATAACTAATTAAAACAACTTGTTAGCACAGATGAGAAGAAAACATTTGGTACATAGCAGCGGATTGGAAGGGGAGGGGTGCTTAAATATTTTTACATCAACCACGAGAGTCACACAGAGGCACAGTGAAACACCGCACACATAACTAGTTCGAATAACTCAAAAGGTTGACAGTTTTTAGTTCTAACCAAAAGCTACACGGACAGACTGGACAGCAGTCTGCCTACACAGTGTCACCATACAAGATAGAAAGCACACACTATATAACTAAGGACACCTCCCATTGGAAGATCTTGGTAGCTAAACAGAAATACTAAGTTACTAATACAGCAATAAGTCCACAGTGATTCTGTCTGCTACATGAGGACACAAGACCAAAGCTGTTAGTTTGACCTCAAATCAGCTGCTCTACACCAAGGTTAGTTTTAGTCTCCATCACAGTCTCCATAAAGGCACAGTGACCTTAATGAGCACCGCAGGACTGAGAGCAATTTAAATACATCCCCGCTGAGGTTTCTGGACGCGCCGGAGTCTGAAACTCTACCTGCAGCACGATGTAATTTCACACCGTGTGCCTCTAAAATCAGCTGGAGGAGGACACTTGATAGAGGTTAAACTAAGCTTCAGGCGAGAGCGCAGCTGTTTATCAGTTCTTCTCGGTAGAAACACACTTCACTGCTCCTCGTCTCCACAGTGCCAGGTCAGCTTCTGCTCATAGAAGTCGATGACCACCTGGGGACACCTGGCGCTTGCTTCACGGGCAGGCAACAGAGCTACGTCGTCCGAGTTCTTCCTGTGAGGGGGAACGCGTAAGAGAGAGAGAAAATAACATGGTTGGGTGCCACCGACTTTTAATTTTGAAAAATGTTTCAGGATCAACACCCAGCAAAGGGTTAATGGACTGAATCACATTTTTTAAGCACAGCCAGTCTTTTAGTGATGTAGCTATGAAACGTGACTTTTTTGTACTTAAAGGGGTTTTACAGCTATTCGGTATTCCATTTCCATTAAATTAGAAAGGTCACAGTGGATGTTAAAGGCTGGTAATTTTCTATATTACAGTATGTTCAACACTCCCCAAACAGAGACTAAAGGCAACAATGAACTGCCTCTATTCACTGTTAATGCCCGTCAGTGTGTCAGTCCTGAATCAGCTTCTTCGTCTGTGCCACAGACCTCTGTGTTGTTGAAAAACGATTACAAACACGTCAGTGAAACACACTGCTGCACTGGGTGACATTTCTTCATTAGCAAACACCAGAGCACAGCATGAGGAGCTAGTGGAATGTAAAGAAAACTGAGAGCTCAAGCAAGATCTCACACATGCGCATTTGGTTCTGACTTGGACTAACTTCAGGAAATTAGCCTATTACTCGGAGCCTTTGGGGCGGCGTAGTCGGGTCTGGGGGTTCATTATGAAAAACATGTCACCTCATGTGTTTTTAATTGTTTTTGAACAACGGAGCACAAAGCTGTAGACAGGGCAGCTGTGGCTCAGGAGGTAGAGCGGTCATCGCCCAATTGGAAGGTTACTGGTTCAATTCCCGGTTTCCCCAGTCCACATGCTTGAGCACGGTGTCCTTGGGCAAGACACCGAACCCCTAGTCGCCCCTGGTGGCCAGGCAGCAACTGCTAGTGCCACCGTCAGTAAGAAATTTAATAAAGTATAATAAATTCAAATGAACAAGCTAATCCAGGCCTGACAGACAATAACCATGAGAAGAGGCAATTCACTGTCAGCTTCAGTCTCTGTAGGGAGACTGCTGAAAATACTGTTAAAGAAAATGAAAGACCTAACCTTTAACGGTAAAAACAGAAGCAGCAAAGGACAGTTTCACTTAACTTTTAGCCCCCTGTATTGCTCAAGGTTCAAAACACTAGAATACTAGGCCGTACACTTCCTGCAGCTAACTGCCTGTGTTTATCAGTTTATCAGACCAAAAGAGCCCAGTGTTATAAAAATACAAAGGGCTGTGTGGGTGGGGCCCGCTGCTTCAGGTGTCAGTGAGCAACAGATTCACAGGTCAGAAGGCTTACCAGACACTAAAACACCACACAGGGTTTATAATTTAATGATCAGGGATTTCACAACTCTGGAAAATAGTCACAGCACAGTTGTTATTCGCTTAAGGGGTCTGTGTTGGCAGCCTCTCCACATCAAGGCTGGTTTTTCTGGTTTCTATGCCAAAGCAAAGATTTTTTTCATGTTCAAAACCAGAGAGCACATTGATTGTTTTTACAGGGTGTGTAGTATTCCCCATGACTAATAAACAGACCTTTATAATTGAAACCTGTAATTCAGCTGTTTATTTTTTAACATATTAAGCTGTTTGAGTGTGTTGCAGTGTGACAACATCCTTAAGCACATTGACTGCTGTCAGAGATTCATACTCTGTTATTAATCTGGGGGATGCTTTGTCAGGTCACCAGTGTTGTCTCAATTTGCCTTCTCAGTAAAATATATATATTTTCATTATATGTTTGGTAAGTGGCAGTTTTACTGCACACCAACAACAATCGGACACCAGACGCTTCATCATCTTTGCTGTAGTTTAAACACTTGAACTGCAGCTGTAACCGACACCAGTGGGGCTTTTACCATCCTACAAACATTTACCCAACCCAAGACATCCAGTCAACGGCAGAGAAAAGAGGAAGCAGCGGAGTTACCATTTGACTAGGAACATGAGCTCTCCCTGTCTGTCTGTGGAGCCGATGATGCATTCAGGCTCGAGGTAAGAGCTGAGGTTAGTGGTGGCATCTGAGCGCTCGCTATTTGGCTCGAGGACATCGCTGTCATTTGACACAGTGTGAGCCTGCTGCTGAGGCCGCATACAGGACTGTGAAGAGAACGACAAGACAACATTAGACTATCTGGATGTAGGGGTTTTTTTGTATTTCCTGCATTGCGAAAAAAGGGAAATTTAACTGCTTTCACTTTCAGAGGCATTGCAAAACTAACCAGCTTCACACACCATTTGGTTTCATTTTCAGCCCTAAAACAAGCACAAGCAAGCACAAAATCTGCAAAGTGTCATCATTTTACTCCTACAACTTCTTTTTACTTAAAGAGAAAGAAGCTTCCTGACGTTTGAGTGTATGTAACACCCTAAAGCGACACGCAATATAAAAAGGACTCTAAAATTATATTTGCCTTTAACTTCCTTTTTATATATTTAGGTGCAGAAGTTCTGTGAACACAAAAGAACAGCATCAGCCTTTAGACATTCCAGCACTGCATTTTTCCCACACTTACAATTTCCGTCTCTTGCTCTGTTGGTTCTTCTTTGGGAATAAACTCTTGTTCGGTTTGCTCCTCGTCATTCTCCTCTGAGACATGGTTGGTTCTCAGGAACTCTCCAATGAGTTCAGGACAGTCCAGATTGTCCTCAGGTTCCCATGTGTTTTCTGCACTGTAAATATGTCAAAGTGGAGGAGATTTTAATATCAGACACACACACAAAAAGCCCCATGTAAGCCAGCAAACATATGATTCTGCAACAGCTCACTCTGTGAAGCCTTTCCACTTCAGAAAGTACTCCACTCTTCCATTAGAGACTCTGCGGCGAATTATTTTCTCTACCACAAACTCCTGGACAAGTGTAGTCTCCTCGGTCTTCCTCTGTTTGGCAGTCTGCTTCTTTCTCATTCTGCCATGAACAATAAGATGCAAATGGATGACAGCCAGCACATATTAATATCACGCCATTCAATAGGTTTTTATTTTAACTTCACACTAAATGAACACTAATCTCCCTGTGATATCTGCAGAACAACATGGCAGTAGTGGGTCCTGTGCTGTGTCCCTCAGACAATGATCCATACACTTATTATCGCGCTCCACCTGCTGTTTCTTATGGGGGCACAACATGCACGTTCGGCCCAAACCGCAACACCTTAGTACCTACACACGTGTATTATTCACTCAGACAGTTTAATTAAGAAGACACTGTGCAGACAACAGCTGAAAAACATGACTACAACGTGCCCGAGCGACGCACAAGACGCTATAATGAACACTAGGCACGTACGCTTTCGGTGTTCACTTAGTCTCGGCGGACAGCCTGCTGCGGTGCTGCTGTGCTCTGTTTGGAGCTTGGCGCTGGAAACCACATGCACACGGCGCAGTCGGTGCTGCTCTGTGCACAAGTGTGTCGGTCGGTGGCTTTACGTGAGCGAAATAACTTTTCATGAATGAGTTAAAATTAAAGATGGCCGTAGATGCTCGGAGGAAGTGGTTGCCAAGGGAAAAGGTCATGCCAGGAAAACCGGGAGGATCCGACGAGGACGCGCACGCCGCCGACCAATCAGAGACAAATCCGCTCGTCCTTCCCAGCGCAGTGGTCCGGAACAGCCCTGCCACCCATGGGTGTCAGATGGGTAGGGCAGGGGACTGTGAGCTCTTGGCAAGTCTCACTGGTATTGTAGACCTTTGATTCTCTGAGCTCTGTGAGCATCGTCAGTGGGAGCAAATGAGCCGGAAATGTTTTTATGTGGAAGCTACACACAAGAGTGCAGGCGGATTCATACACCCCCCAATAAAAAGGCTTATCTGCATTGTTTTGGACGGCAAATGATATTAGATAGACCTTAGACCATTTAATATAATATGATATAATATTTATTTTATCTCCACCTTTACTGTGCTTTGCAGCTATAGAATTTACAAATAAAATTCAATTATGAAATATGTAATTATCCAAAATTATGTCATTAATTTATGTCCATCCTTGACATCATTAAAATGCAGCTTAATGCATCAATAATATTATTTCAAAATGACATGATGACAATTTATTTTAAGACTTTAGGTACATTTTACTGCTGAAACGTTTACTTATGACACATTGTGAATGCAACGTTCTTACTTGTAATGGAGCATCTGTATATTGCGGTAGATCTACTTTTACTTTAGGGAAACTCTCAGTACTCCTGCAGCCACATGGTTTTCATGGAGGGGGTCTGCACTCCACAACCTCCTAAACTACACTGAGTGTTTCACACAAAAACAACCTCTGGGGCCTTTGATTGACAGTCCCCTTTCAGCCAATGGGAAACCCCAAAGCTGCTGATTGGCCAAATAAGTGCCACTAAGCCCTTCCCACGTGACCAACTTTACCTTCTTTGCCCCCAGTTATTGCACTCTGTCTGGTAACTCACCATTGGGGGGCGCTGCTTGCTTGTACTGGACTGTGAGGCTCAGCGAACCAAAGGCTCAGTGCTCCCTGCACCCCTGTTAACTAATGAGAATAGATTTATGTTGCTCACAGCAAAAGCCAACAAAATAAAAGATTTACTAGAATCTGGATTTACATTGGAAATCTGATGCACACTTATCTCTGATACCGTTTCATCCCCATTGCAGGATTATGTAACACTGGGCATATTAGTTCATGGACTGTACCTTTACCAATGATGCAAACAAGCACTGAATGTAGCAGGGGTACGGGAATGCCCACAGTAAACGCAGTACATGGTGCTCTGACACAGTCCTCAGAATTAGTGCCGCAGTTTCACTGAGAAAACACTGGGGATGTGATTAAAGTGGTTTTAGTGAAAAAGCTGGCAGATGCCTGCAGTAAAGATGGCTGTGATGTGTATGTCTCCAGAAAAGAGGCTTATTGATCACAGTCTCAAAGGTGACAGGACACAGGTCTTATTCAGGTTGCAAATCAAGCTCAATCAATTCTGCAGAGGAAACTTTACATAGGCGGTAAACTGTTGGCATGATCCTCAGGAACTGCGAATTCCTTCCAAGGTGATAAGCTGCTGTTTTCCTCTGTGATTAATTATTAATATACTCTACTGAAGATGTTCTCAGCAACTAAATGCAATTTTCTTCCTTTGCTTACAGCTGCTCTTGCTTCAGATGAGCGTCTTCTGCCACACAAGTCATTGGAGAAACTTTGTCTCCTTGTATTCTGAATTGTGATGCGAAGATTCCCCAGTTTTACTGAACCCAAAACATTTTTTAAAAAGTTTCATCCTAGAATTATTATTTCTCCTAATTTTTTGTCAAGGCCAGAGCTATAATTTTGGTTCCACTTTCCAATCAGGCACCCTTTATAAAGGGTTTATGAATCAAAACTAATAGCTTTATTTAATGGTTCAAATTTTATTTCCAGCTGCTTTATAGATCATATCTTATAAGCCATCATTAGGATCAACTATCTCATTGCCAAGTTGTGAAAAATCCCTGCAATTATGTTCTGCATGTACATAGTTCAGTGGTCAACTGAAAAAGCCTTTGTGATGAATTAAGCTAATATGACAAAATAAGTGTCATGTTGGATGTTTTTGAAAATACAGAAACCCAAACATAGCTGTTTTAATAAGTTATAATTGATCTAAGTGTTAATAAATGATATACTGACCATTAATAAAGTGATTATTTACAACCTATATAAAGTGGTACCATTATTTTATTTATTTTTTTTACAGGTTTCTCAGTAGAACCACATCAGCCTTACATTACATCTATGGGCCTGGGTATGAGTAGACCCAGAAACCAAGGCAGTACGTGTTGTTATCTGCTGTATGACCTGCTTTTGCCCTCTGACCCTTTCCAGTCGACTCTTTTGGGGTTTCAGTACTAGTTGCCATAGTAACCGAACAGCTAATAGGGTTGAGCTGCCGCGGTAGGTGCAGGAATGGCAGTAATACATGCAGGGAGGTCCTGTCTGGATTTACTGCTTTGCTACAGTATGGATCATTTTGTGTCCTCCTAACCAAACCTGGGAAAGTGGGTTGTTTCAGTTCAGGAACACAATATGACAAAACACTGGCCAATCATTTCTACAGTCTCAGCATTTTAAGGTGTTTTTTTTGTTTGTTTTTTGTTGTTTTTTTTTTTTGCAAATTCACTTTTACTGGATAAACTCAGAGATGAAGATAAACTAAATGTGAGGAAAGACCAGTATGACTGATTGTCAACTGAAATTGAACCTGAGACATTGCAGGAGTTTGTTATGGGTTTTAACCACTATGCCACCAGGACTAACTATTTCTATACACACAAAAGATGTAGTGAAATAATCTATATCATCATCATCTGTTTGTAAATCTGACAGAAAGAACAAAAACATATTGACAACTTGGATTTTAGGATATGGAATTGGAGTATTATCTGAAATGTTTTAGCAACATATTTGTATGTGTTTGTAGCTTGATTAACTCAACAACAGGCAATAATGAAGTGATTTGAAGCCTTTTTGTGCCTAAAACCATATCAACTGAGCCCAGGATTGACAAGGGCACTAAAAATGAAATACAGATGTTGACGAAATGACATGCTCCATGGTGCAGCATGAAAAGATATATCACGTTGGACCGTCATCCCCTAAATCTCCTCAGTTGTCTCCCAGACAGGCACATTCCTGGGGCCCAGTATGAATGTAGCCCTCATATAGATGAGCCTTGAGAGCCACCCTGTCAGTGCAGAAATGAGTCCAGATGGCTGGATCCTGCTGTGAGGAGCTGTGGATGGAGTGAGTAGTGGTCTGTGTGGTTCAAACCAAGCCTGACTGCACCCTTTTCACACGAAGGGCCCCCGGCGTTCTCTCAGTATCACCCTGAGGCTCTCGGGTTACAGCCCAGGCGAGTACATTCATGTCGGCCCTGTTATTCTTACCAAGCGTTAATCGGGTTGTGTAAGGAGCAGTGTTCACTAAAACAGTAATACTGATGTCTGGTATGGTGCAGCTCATTGAGCTCATTACTGATGGATAATCTGCTTATATACAAAGGGCTTTCTTGGAGATAATGTCCACATAAAATCATACATATAACAGCACATTTGGACTAAGAGCAGCACTGCTGGGATACTTCACTGTCACCAACTCTGCCACCACTGCCAGAGCCCTCAGCTTGTCACCATCAGCTTCTCATGGCATCTTTAGGTCATATTCAGATCCACATATTGAACCAGTCTGGGTCTGGTGCGACAGGCTTCAGTGCAGTTTACATCCTCTGGGTGTATGCAGCTGTGGCAGAGAGAGAAGTGGCTTTTCATGAGTAACAGGATGTGGGACAGCAGACTACTTGGATTTGCTTGTGGAAATTTGTCTCCTGTTTCAGAACACTTATAGGCCCCCAAGATATTTTCCTCTGTGTTATTCTACACCTTGTCCTGGTATGGAGGGCTTGAGGCGGGTACTTACAGCGTTAATAGAGTCTTATAGAGTTCCTGGGAATAAATACAGTGGGAATGTATCTTCAAAGTATTCATTTCACTACAGGTTTCATTTACATACACAGCTATACATGGTTGTATGTATGTGTTTGTGTGTAGCTTTTTATATTTGTTTTTTCACTTAACAACAAGTCGTATAAATGCTGTGTATCAAATGCCAACAGATTCATCTCCATGACAACTGAACAAACCGACTAAGCTTGTGATGTAGCTGGAACAAAAATCCAGAGGGTGAACGTAATGTATGGCACTTTGGTTTGCACACAGTCATCAACAGAAGAATAAACACAAAGAAAGTTATCACAGCTGTTACTACCATTGCCACTAATCCCCAAAATGTGTAAAGGAAAGCAAAAACCAAACAAACAACAGTGGACAAACCCTGTCACATTCTCTACATGTAGCAGCTGCATTTTATTTAGAAAACAAAATACGTTATATAAGTATGAAGTAAGGGTCTGATCACAAAGTAAAAACAGCAACAAAAAACTCCAAAACTGCAAAAGTACTGCATTCATAATAATGTAAAATAATAGTAAAACGATACATTTATCAATGAATTTTCTTAAAGTATGAAAAGTATGTGTACTCGTTTTGCTCAACCACTGCCCTGTGAATGTTATAATATTACACACTGTTGGATTGTTATTATTGCTGAACTCTTCATTTGTAACTAACAAGTAGTTGTCAAATAAACTCAGCACATTAAAAAGAACAATACTTGCCTCTTAGAAGTAGATTGGTAGAAGTATAAAGTTGCACAAAATGGAAATACTTGATTACAAGTATCTCAAAATTGTAGTGCATCTGAGTAAATGACTTATTTAGTACGTTCCACTAACAGCTAGATTTATCTCTTTAGACAGGTCAGTGATCAGCCTTTTGCAGTATTGAGGATTGCAGAAGTAAAAATGTTGGGTTACACCACATCAACACACTTATGTCCAACAACCAGAGGCACTCCATATCAGAGCATCTACAGCATCTCCTGCACAAAAACTACAAGGTGCTGGGATCTGACTGGGACAAGAAGTATGCCTCCTCTCTTTGTGTCACAATCACCGATACTGTTGCTGGCTGTGGAACTGGTCTGATTTACCAGAGGAAGTGAAACTATAGCAACACAACAAGGAGGAGTTTTATGAAAACAACACAACTTATATACTGTTAGTAAAATGTC